TGTGACTGGTCTGTGTCTCCAGCTGTCATGTGTGACTGGTCTGTGTCACCAGGTGTCATGTGTGACTGGTCTGTGTCTCCAGGTGTCATGTGTGACTGGTCTGTGTCTCCAGGTGTCATGTGTGACTGGTCTGTGTCTCCAGCTGTCATGTGTGACTGGTCTGTGTCTCCAGGTGTCATGTGTGACTGGTCTGTGTCTCCAGGTGTCATGTGTGACTGGTCTGTGTCACCAGGTGTCATGTGTGACTGGTCTGTGTCTCCAGGTGTCATGTGTGACTGGTCTGTGTCTCCAGGTGTCATGTGTGACTGGTCTGTGTCACCAGGTGTCATGTGTGACTGGTCTGTGTCTGTGTGTGACTGGTCTGGTCCTCCAGTGTCATGTGTGACTGGTCTGTGTGACTGGTCAGTGTGTCCAGCTGTCTGTGTGACTGGTCTGTGTCACCAGGTGTCATGTGTGACTGGTCTGTGTCTCCAGGTGTCATGTGTGACTGGTCTGTGTCTCCAGGTGTCATGTGTGACTGGTCTGCTGTGTCTCCAGGCTGTCATGTGTGACTGGTCTGTGTCTCCAGGTGTCATGTGTGACTGGTCTGTGTCTCCAGGTGTCATGTGTGACTGGTCTGTGTCACCAGGTGTCATGTGTGACTGGTCTGTGTCTCCAGCTGTCATGTGACTGGTCTGTGTCTCCAGGTGTCATGTGTGACTGGTCTGCTGGTCCTGGCTCTGAACAACGCTGCTTTGTCAATTTCCGTTAAAATCTTTTTGTTATCATACCCCCCCCCCCCCGCTATCTGTCCTTGGCTCCAGTGTGGCAAGGTCCAGTTTCCAGCCTTTCCTCCTCGTGCAATCAATCCCTTCAGCTCACCAACCAGTTTCGTTACTTATCTTTTGGCCCTTATTTTTTAAAAAAAAGAGAGAGAGAGTGAGAGAGAGAGAGAGAGAGAGAGAGAGAGAGAGAGAGAGAGAGAGAGAGAGAGAGAGAGAGAGAGAGAGAGAGAGAGAGAGAGAGAGAGAGACAGAGAGAGAGAGAGAGAGAGAGAGAGAGAGAGAGAGAGAGAGAGAGAGAGAGAGAGAGAGAGAGGGGAGGAGAGAGAGAGAGAGAGAGAGACAGAGAGAGAGAGAGAGAGAGAGAGAGAGAGACAGAGAGAGAGAGAGAGAGAGAGAGAGAGAGAGAGAGAGAGAGAGAGAGAGAGAGAGAGAGAGAGAGAGAGAGAGAGAGAGAGAGTGACAAGAGAGAGAGAGAGAGAGAGAGAGAGAGAGAGAGAGAGAGAGAGAGAGAGAGAGAGAGAGAGAGAGAGAGAGAGAGAGAGAGAGAGAGAGAGAGAGAGAGAGAGAGAGAGAGAGAGAGAGAGAGAGAGAGAGAGAGAGAGAGAGAGTGACAGAGAGAGAGAGAGTGTGAGAGAGAGAGAGAGAGAGAGAGAGAGAGAGAGAGAGAGAGAGTGAGAGAGAGAGAGAGAGAGAGAGAGAGAGAGAGTGACAGAGAGAGAGAGAGAGAGAGAGGAGAGAGAGAGAGAGAGAGAGAGAGAGAGAGAGAGAGAGAGAGAGAGAGAGAAGAGAGAGAGAGAGAGAGAGAGAGAGAGAGAGAGACTTAGAGTAACTATGGCAACACAATACACCCCCCCCCCCCCCGTCAGCTGTTTAGACCGTTTTGACCAGCAGAAGAGAGCGATAACATCTCATCTTAAGACACCGCCCCCCCGCTGCTCACCTGATGAAGGACAGAACCTTTTGGGCAGGGTGTAAGGTAACCCCCCCCCCTCCTCCCCCCCAGGTCTAACCCCACGGAACACCCCACAAATCCTATAATAATTTATAATTAATTTTAAGGGAGGGGGGGGGGGCAGTTTGTGTGTATTATATATATATATGTCGTACCTAATAGCCAGAACGCACTATCGGCCTACTATGCAAGGCCCGATTTGCCTATAAGCCAAGTTTTCCTGAATTAATATATTTTCTCTAATTTTTTCTTATGAAATGATAAAGCTGCCCATTTCATTATGTATGAGGTCAATTTTTTTTTATTGGAGTTAAAATTAACGTAGATATATGACCAAAACCTAACCAACCCTACCTAACCTAACCTAACCTATCTTATAGGTAAGGTTAGGTTAGGTAGCCGAAAAAGTTAGGTTAGGTAGGTTAGGTAGTCGAAATACCATTAATTCATGAAAACTGGCTTATTAGGCAAATCGGGCCTTGCATAGTATGCTGAGAAGTGAGTTCTGGCTACTAGGTACGACATATATATATATATATATATTATATATATATATATATAATATAATATATATATATATATATATATATTATAGGCCTCCCAGAATGCAACTCCACAACCAAGCTAACTCCTGAGTACGCATTTGCTGGGTGAACAGAGGCAACAGGTGATAGGCATTGTGCCCAACTCCTCCCCCGTCCTGCCATTCGAACCCGGAATTCCCGACTTTGTGTCGAGAACGATCCCAACTGGGACATGGACCCAGCATGGGGTCTGACCCCCTCCCACCCCCCCCCCGTCAAGGGATCCAATCCCCGGTAAGGAATCAGAGGATAAACCACTGTGACTAAAATCCGTTAACAGAGAGAGAGAGAGAGAGAGAGAGAGAGAGGAGAGAGAGACAGAGACAGAGAGAGAGAGAGAGAGAGAGAGAGAGAGAGAGAGAGAGAGAGAGGAGAGAGAGAGGAGAGAGAGGACAGAGAGACAGAGAGACAGAGAGACAGAGAGACAGAGAGACAGAGAGGACAGAGAGACAGAGAGAGAGAGACAGAGAGAGATGATAAGCTAACATATATACTTGTACTTATCCCAGACACACGAGTGGGTCTCCCTCACACACACACACACAAACACCTGAGTGTACTCAAGTCAATACCACTTCAACATCACCAGCCCCAGTGATCCTGTACTCATCGCATTCCACTAATCACAATCACTACATTGTGATTAGTGATTAATTGATAAGAGTGTGCTATTAGCGGATTACTCAAACTAAACGATCAGCTGATTACTAATCACAGAAATTCAGCTAATTCCTGATAGTTATCAATAAAAATCCATACTTGGAGAGGATTCTGGGAGTTGTTCTACTCCCCAAGCCCAGCCCGAGGCCAGGCTTGACTTGTGATAACTTGGTCCACCAGGCTGTTGCTTGCAGCGGCCCGCAGGCCCACATATCCACTACAACCCAATTGGTCCGGAACTTCTCACAGGAAAATGTCAAAAAATGTTCCCTTGAACACTTTATACTTTTGTACCAGCAATATTTCTAAGGCTTGCTTGAAGGGTGTTGAACAGCCGTGAACATCTGATGTTCAGTGTTCTCTAATGGAGCCTATGGCACCTCTGTTACTTCACTGATTCTATTCTGCATTTCCTGCCATATCGTTCACTCCAGAATGTTGTTATTTTACTGTGTAGGTTTGGGACCTGTTCTCCAGTATCTTCCATGTATATATGTGACTTGTTCTCCAGTATCTTCCATGTATATATGTGACTTGTTCTCCAGTATCTTCCATGTATATATGTGACCTGTTCTCCAGTATCTTCCATGTATATGTGACCTGTTCTCCAGTATCTTCCATGTATATATGTGACCTGTTCTCCAGTATCTTCCATGTATATATGTGACCTGTTCTCCAGTATCTTCCATGTATATATGTGACCTGTTCTCCAGTATCTTCCATGTATATATGTGACCTGTTCTCCAGTATCTTCCATGTATATATGTGACCTGTATCCAGTATCTTCCAGTATATATGTGACCTGTTCTCCAGTATCTTCCATGTATATATGTGACCTGTTCTCCAGTATCTTCCATGTATATATGTGACCTGTTCTCCAGTATCTTCCATGTATATATGTGACGCCATACACACCCTACATACAGTATAACAATTACCCAGAATCACTATACACATTCTGTTGATTTATTTAGTATGCCGGTCTATTTAGTATTAGGGAGCCGGTCGGCCGAGCGGACAGCACGCGGGACTTGTGATCCTGTGGTCCTGGGTTCGATCCCAGGCGCCGGCGAGAAACAATGGGCAGAGTTTCTTTCACCCTATGCCCCTGTTACCTAGCAGTAAAATAGGTACCTGGGTGTTAGTCAGCTGTCACAGGCTGCTTCCTGGGGGTGGAGGCCTGGTCGAGGACCGGGCCGCGGGGACACTAAAAGCCCCGAAATCATCTCAAGATAACCTCAAGATAACCAAGCCCCACTATACCCATGCCGGTGGTGGTGGTGGAGAGGGCCATTAATTCATCATGAGGATTTTTTTGTAGCTGTAAAGGCACAGCTTACAGCTTACAGCTACAGCTTACAGCTGTAGCTGTAAAGGGCGAGTATTGGGCAGCGTCACTCATGGGAGGAACTCACAGCTACTTCACATTACAGAACTCGGGGCAGCGTCACTCATGGGAGGAACTCACAGCTACTTCACATTACAGAACTCGCTGGATTTAAGCGATTGTCTCTTGGTTTTTGCAGATAATAGATTGTTTCATCAATAAAAATCTAATGATTTTGACCCAAAACAATAATAAGCTCATCAACCCAAAACATTTACAATCAATCAGATGATAACAAACAATACTAATCAACAGATGGAACAAAACACAGCTGATTAACCAAAACAAACGAGTGAGTCCATTTCCCTCCCCGCAGACGCCACCTCCCAGGCGACAGACCCAACATACCCTTAAAATTCCCTCCCCCCCCACCCCCCACCAGAGGCTGGAGGGGGGTGGGGGGTCAACAGGGGGGTGGGGGAGGAGGGGAACTTAAGACGGGGCCATATATGGTGCCACTGAGAGCCTTACCAGCCAGGCACAGAGCCACTCTTACCTGGCCCTCAACCCCCTACCACAACCCCCACCCCCACTCTACCCCCTCAGGGGATGGGAGGTTGTGGCGAGCTGGGGGTAGAGAAAGAGGGGTTACCCGGAGGTGCCCGGGTCTACCATCTACCCCCACCCCCCCAACAAGAGGACAGTATACTCACATGTCCACGGACAGAGAGAGGTTGGGGACACACACATTGTCTCCCCCGCAGTTGTTCTTGATGTAGATGAGGGCGGAGGAGGTGGAGGAGGGGTGGAGGTGTGGGGGGGCCAGGATGGGGCGGAGGGGGCGGCGAGGGGGGGACAAGGATGGGGGGCGGAGGTCCCCAGTCTCCTCCAGCAGGTCACTGGTCATCTCAGCCACCAGGGGGGTCAGCTTGTCCTGCGGCTCACGCTGTGGGAGTGGACACTCTCAGTAGTGGGGGGTGATATCGGGGCACAGATAACACTGATATTGGGGCACAGATAACACACTGATAACACTGATATCGGGGCACAGATGGGGCACAGATAACACTGATATCGGGGCACAGATAACACTGATATCGGGGCACAGATAACACTGATATCGGGGCACAGATAACAGTGATATCGGGGCACAGATAACACTGATATCGGGGCACAGATAACAGTGATATTGGGGCACAGATAACACTGATATCGGGGCACAGATAACACTGATATCGGGGCACAGATAACACTGATATCGGGGCACAGATAACACTGATATCGGGGCACAGATAACACTGATATCGGGGAACAGATAAGACAGTGATATCGGGGAACAGATAAGCGATATCGGGGAACAGATAAGTGATATCGGGGAACAGATAAGTGATATCGGGAACGGATGAGAGTGATATCGGGGCACAGATAACGTACAGTGATATCGGAAAACAGATAAGACAGGGATATCAGGGCGCAGATAACATGCAGTGATATCGGGGCACATATAACAGACAGTGATATCGGGACACATAACAGTGATATCGGGGCACAGATAACAGGCAGTGATATCGGGACACATATATACAGGCAGTGATATCGGGACACAGATAACAGGCAGTGATATCGGGACACATAACAGTGATATCGGGGCACAGATAACAGGTAGTGATATCGGGGCACATAACATGCAGTGATATCGGGGCACATATAACAGACAGTGATATCGGGACACATAACAGTGATATCGGGGCACAGATAACAGGCAGTGATATCGGGACACATATGAGAGAGTGATATCGGGACACACATAACAGAGTGATATCGGGGCACAGATAACAGTGATATCGGGACACAGATATGAGAGAGTGATATCGGGACACACATAACAGACAGTGATATCGGGACACACATATCAGACAGTGATATCGGGACACACATATCAGACAGTGATATCGGGACACAGATAATCAAAAAACAATTGCATGGTCCTGATGACCAATGAGGAGCGACGCCCCGGGAGCCAATCAGAGAGGATCACACGCGCGTGTCAGCCAATCAGAGAGCGCCCGCGGTGCCAGCCAATAAAAAAGGGGGTTAAGAGGAGTGATGGATTATGATTGGTGGGCGCCAGACGCCTGACAGGGTCGTCCTCGTGTTAACGGCGGGCCTTATATGGCGGCCTAGTGGGGGGGGGCAGCAACCCCCCCCCACACACACAGTCATAACTTCCAGTCAAATCAAGTCCTATATAACTTCACAGTCAAATCAAGTCCTATATAACTTCACAGTCAAATCAAGTCCTATATAACTTCAGTCAAATCAAGTCCTATATAACTTCACAGTCAAATCAAGTCCTATATAACTTCACAGTCAAATCAAGTCCTATATAACTTCAGTCAAATCAAGTCCTATATAACTTCAGTCAAATCAAGTCCTATATAACTTCAGTCAAATCAAGTCCTATATAACTTCACAGAACAAACTATAGTCCCATTTAAATAAAAAAATAATATTTCACTCTTACAGGGACCTCGAGAGCACCCCAGAAACCTCTAGAGCACCCCAGGGACCTCGAGAGCACCCACAGGGACCTCGAGAGCACCCACAGGGACCTCGAGAGCACCCCCAGGGACCTCGAGAGCACCCCCAGGGACCTCGAGAGCACCCCCAGGGACCTCGAGAGCACCCCCAGGGACCTCGAGAGCACCCCCAGGGACCTCGAGAGCACCCCAGGGCCCTCGAGAGCACCCCAGGGACCTCTAGAGCACCCCAGAGACCTCTAGAGCACCCCAGGGACCTCGAGAGCACCCCAGGGACCTCGAGAGCACCCCAGGGACCTCGAGAGCACCCCAGGGACCTCTAGAGCACCCCAGGGACCTCTAGAGCACCCCAGGGACCTCGAGAGCACCCCCAGGGACCTCGAGAGCACCCCCAGGGACCTCGAGAGCACCCCAGGGCCCTCGAGAGCACCCGAGGGCCCTCAAGACTCCCCCATAAGAGAGAGAGCACCCTAGGACCCTCAAGAGTTCCCCATAATAGTGAATGAGAGAGCACCCCAGGGCCCTCAAGAGTCCCCCCATAAGAGTGAGAGAGCAACCCCATAAGAGTGTGAGAGAGAGCAACCCCATAAGAGTGTGAGAGAGCAACCCCATAAGAGTGGGAGAGAGAGCAACCCCATAAGAGTGTGAGAGAGCAACCCCATAAGAGTGTGAGAGAGCAACCCCATAAGAGTGTGAGAGAGAGCAACCCCATAAGAGTGTGAGAGAGCAACCCCTAAGAGTGTGAGAGAGCAACCCCATAAAAGAGTGTGAGAGACCAACCCCCATAAGAGTGTGAGAGAGAGCAAGAGTCCCATAAGAGTGTGAGAGAGAGCAACCCCATAAGAGTGTGAGAGAGCAACCCCATAAGAGTGTGAGAGAGAGCAACCCCATAAGAGTGTGAGAGAGAGCAACCCCATAAGAGTGTGAGAGAGCAACCCCATAAAGTGTGAGAGAGAGCAACCCCATAAGAGTGTGAGAGAGCAACCCCATAAGAGTGTGAGAGAGAGCAACCCCATAAGAGTGTGAGAGAGCAACCCCATAAGAGTGTGAGAGAGAGCAACCCCATAAGAGTGTGAGAGAGCAACCCCATAAGAGTGGGAGAGAGAGCACCCCAGGGACCTTGATAGCACCCCAGGGCCCTCAAGAGTCCCCCATAAGAGAGAGAGAGAGCACCCAGGGCCCTCAAGAGTCCCCCATAAGAGAGAGAGAGAGCACCCCAGGGCCCTCAAGAGTCCCCCATAAGAGTGATAGAGAGAGACAGCACCCCAGGGCTCTCAAGAGTCCCCCATAAAAGAGAGAGAGCACCCCAGGGACCGCGAGAGAACCCCAGGGCCCTCAAGAGTCCCCCATAAGAGTGAGAGAGAGAGCACCCCAGGGCCCTCAAGAGTCCCCCATAAGAGTGAGAGAGAGAGCACCCCAGGGCCCTCAAGAGTCCCCCATAAGAGTGATAGAGAGAGCACCCCGGGGCCCTCAAGAGTCCCCATAAGTGAGAGAGAGAGCACCCCGGGGCCCTCAAGAGTCCCCCATAAAAGAGAGAGAGCACCCCAGGGCCCTCAAGAGTCCCCCATAAGAGTGAGAGAGAGAGCACCCCAGGGCCCTCAAGAGTCCCCCATAAGAGTGAGAGAGAGAGCACCCCGGGGCCCTCAAGAGTCCCCCATAAGAGTGATCAAGAGTCCCCCCATAAGAGTGAGAGAGAGAGCACCCCGGGGCCCTCAAGAGTCCCCCATAAGAGTGATAGAGAGAGCACCCCGGGGCCCTCAAGAGTCCCCCATAAAAGAGAGAGAGCACCCCAGGGCCCTCAAGAGTCCCCCATAAGAGAGAGAGAGCACTAACGGTGAGGTAGGTGTAGAGAGTGGTGCAGCGCTCGACGGACTTGCGGAGCTCCAGGGTGACGTTCTCAGCGGCCTCTCCCTCCCTGTGTAGGAAGAACATCCTGGGCACCAGCTCCGCCCGCGTGTCCACCCGCAGCCACACCTTCATCTCTGTCGGGGACACCACCGCCGTCAGCAGGCCGGCCTCCACACGCCTCGAAAATAAACATTATAATACCGAAAAAAACACAACTATAAAATATACAATGTTAAACGCCCGGGGCCGCTGCAAGCAACAGCCAGGGGCCAGATTCACGAAAGAACTTACGCAAGCACTTACGAGCGTGTACATCTTTCCTCAATCTTTGACGGCTTTGGTTACATTTATTAAACAGTTTACAAGCATGAAAACTTGTCAATCAACTGTTGTTATTGTTATAAACAGCCTCCTGGTGCTTCGGAGCTCATTAACTGTTTAATAATTGTAAACAAAGCCGCTAAAGATTGAGAAAAGATGTACAGGTTCGTAAGTGCTTGCGTAAGTGCTTTCGTGAATCTGGCCCCTGGTGGACCAAACTCTCACAAGTCGAGCCTGGCCTCGGGCCGGGCTTGGGCAGTAGAAGAACTCCCAGAACCCCATCAACCAGGTAAACGCGTTTTCGGCTTAATCCGCCTTCATCAGAGCAAAGTAGAAATGTACTAGTCCTATCAATCTCTCAAATTCAAAGACAGGGTAGACATTGAATTTGAGAGAGATTCGGCGAGTCAAATTGAAATCGGAAATTTGAGAGGGGGGCGTCTATCCCCCCTCCCCTCCCCCCCCCCCCCACCACCACACCCAAAGCCGGAAATTGAATTCATCAGGTGACCGGGTCTCCCCGCCCCCACATAGTGGAATCCACACCCCTTCCTGGCTATGTCAACACGTGATAACTCTATCTTTATACCGTGTCTCTCTTAATCTCTCTCTACTGTACCTCCATCTCTCCCCCTCCTCCCTCCCTGACTCTTGGGCACTCACAGTGTGGTGGGTACTCACAGAGGGTGGTGGAGACTGTTGGGTACTCACAGAGGGTGGTGGAGGCTGCTGGGTACTCACAGAGGATGGTGGAGACTGCTGGGTACTCACAGAGGGTGGTGGGTACTAACAGTGTGGTGGAGACTGTTGGGTACTCACGGATGATGGTGGAGACTGTTGGGTACTCACAGAGGGTGGTGGAGACAGTTGGGTACTCACAGAGGATGGTGGAGACTGTTGAGTACTCACAAAGTGTGGTGGAGACTGTTGGGTACTCACAGAGGGTGGTGGAGACTGTTGGGTACTCACAGAGGATGGTGGAGACTGCTGGGTACTCACAGAGGGTGGTGGAGACTGTTGGGTACTCACAGAGGGTAGTGGGTACTCACAGAGGATGGTGGAGACTGCTGGGTACTCACAGAGGGTGGTGGAGACTGTTGGGTACTCACAGAGGGTAGTGGGTACTCACAGAGGGTGGTGGAGACTGCTGGGTACTCACAGAGGGTGGTGGAGACTGTTGGGTACTCACAGAGGGTAGTGGGTACTCACAGAGGGTGGTGGAGACTGTTGGGTACTCACAGAGGGTAGTGGGTACTCACAGAGGGTGGTGGAGACTGCTGGGTACTCACAGAGGATGGTGGAGACTGTTGAGTACTCACAAAGTGTGGTGGAGACTGTTGGGTACTCACAGAGGATGGTGGAGACTGTTGGGTACTCACAGAGGGTGGTGGGTACTCACGGAGGGTGGTGGGTACTCACGGAGGGTGGTGGGTACTCACGGAGGGTGGTGGGAACTCACGGAGGGTACTGGGTACTCAAAGAGGGTGGTGGGTACTCACGGAGGGTACTGGGTACTCACGGAGGGTGCTGAGTACTCACGGAGGGTGCTGGGTACTCACGGAGGGTACTGGGTACTCACGGAGGGTACTGGGCACTCACAGAGGGTGCTGGGCACTCACAGAGGGTGCTGGGTACTCACAGAGGGTGCTGGGTACTCACAGAGGGTGCTGGGTACTCACAGAGGGTGCTGGGTACTCAAAGAGGGTGCTGGGTACTCACAGAGGGTGCTGGGTACTCACAGAGGGTGCTGGGTACTCACAGAGGGTGCTGGGTACTCACAGAGGGTGCTGGGTACTCACAGAGGGTACTGGGTACTCACAGAGGGTACTGGGCACTCACAGAGGGTACTGGGCACTCACAGAGGGTACTGGGCACTCACAGAGGGTGTTCGGTACTCACAGAGGGTGCTGGGTACTCACAGAGGGTGCTGGGTACTCACAGAGGGTGCTGGGTACTCACAGAGGGTGCTGGGTACTCACAGAGGGTACTGGGCACTCACAGAGGGTACTGGGTACTCACAGAGGGTGCTGGGTACTCACAGAGGGTGCTGGGTACTCACAGAGGGTACTGGGTACTCACAGAGGGTACTGGGTACTCACAGAGGGTACTGGGTACTCACAGAGGGTACTGGGAACTCACAGAGGGTACTGGGTACTCACAGAGGGTGCTGGGTACTCACAGAGGGTGGTGGATACTCACGGAGGGTGCTGGGTACTCACGGAGGGTGCTGGGTACTCACGGAGGGTGCTGGGTACTCACAGAGGGTGGTGGATACTCACAGAGGGTGCTGGGTACTCACAGAGGGTGGTGGATACTCACGGAGGGTGCTGGGTACTCAACAGAGGGTGCTGGGTACTCACAGAGGGTGGTGGATACTCACGGAGGGTGCTGGGTACTCACAGAGGGTGGTGGATACTCACAGAGGGGTGCTGGGTACTCACAGAGGGTGGTGCATACTCACGGAGGGTGCTGGGTACTCACAGAGGGTGCTGGGTACTCACAGAGGGTGGTGGATACTCACGGAGGGTGCTGGGTACTCACAGAGGGTGGTGGATACTCACGGAGGGTGCTGGGTACTCAACAGAGGGTGCTGGGTACTCACAGAGGGTGGTGGATACTCACAGAGGGTGCTGGGTACTCACAGAGGGTGGTGGATACTCACGGAGGGTGCTGGGTACTCACAGAGGGTGGTGGATACTCACAGAGGGTGCTGGGTACTCACAGAGGGTGGTGGATACTCACGGAGGGTGCTGGGTACTCACAGAGGGTGCTGGGTACTCACAGAGGGTGGTGGATACTCAGAGGGTGCTGGGTACTCATAGAGGGTGGTGGGTACTCATAGAGGGTGGTGGGTACTCACGGAGGGTGCTGGGTACTCACAGAGGGTACTGGGTACTCACAGAGGGTACTAGGTACTCACAGAGGGTGCTGGGTACTCACAGAGGGTGGTGGATACTCACGGAGGGTGCTGGGTACTCACAGAAGGTGGTGGATACTCACAGAGGGTGCTGGGTACTCACAGAGGGTGGTGGATACTCACGGAGGGTGCTGGGTACTCACAGAGGGTGCTGGGTACTCACAGAGGGTGGTGGATACTCACGGAGGGTGCTGGGTACTCACGGAGGGTACTGGGTACTCACGGAGGGTGCTGGGTACTCGGTGACCGGTGTAGGTGAGACAGTACTGGAGGGAGACACAGGGGACCTCAGTAGAGTCCTGAAGTGAGCACCTGAGCACCTCCAGGTCTATGATGCCACTCTCAGACTTGAACCTGTGGAGAGAAGGAGCTGAGAGTTACCGTCTGTCTGTCTACCCAGACAGTCCAAATGCCTCAGCTGACGCCCACAACAATGTAAACAAACACCACGTGGCTGCTCAGCTGACGGCCACAACAATGTAAACAAACACCACGTGGCTGCTCAGCTGACGGCCACAACAACATAAACAAACACCACGTGGCATCGTGACGTCAGTGTCAACACCTCACGTTTCCCACAATAAAGTTTCAACAACGTTTAACACAACACTTGTTACTGAAACAATCCTCCGTCATTACAACTAGAGAGAGCACAATTAGAGAGGCTGTTAGCGACGTAACGAGCGGTAGTACTGGACCTACTTGAGCATGGCCTGGGCCTGAACCACCGGCCGGGCGCGGAAGACGTAGGCGGCGTGGGCGTGGTGGGCGCCCACCACCAGGTCCGGGTACTCGTTGTCGTCCAGGTCGTCCCCGGCAGCCAGCGACCAGCCGAAGGTGGCGGCCCCCGCCAGGGTCACCTCCTCCCCTAGGATGACCTGTTGTGGGAGAGGGGGCGTGGCTCAGTGGAGGAGGGAGGGGCGTGGCTCAGTGGAGGAGGGAGGGGCGTGGCTCAGTGGAGGAGGGAGGGGCGAGGCTCAGTGGAGGAGGGAGGGGCGTGGCTCAGTGGAGGAGGGAGGGGCGTGGCTCAGTGGAGGAGGGAGGGGCGTGGCTCAGTGGAGGAGGGAGGGGCGTGGCTCAGTGGAGGAGGGAGGGGCGTGGCTCAGTGGAGGAGGGAGGGGCGTGGCTCAGTGGAGGAGGGAGGGGCGTGGCTCAGTGGGAGGGGGGGCGTGGCTCAGTGGAGGAGGAGGGGCGTGGCTCAGTGGAGGAGGGAGGGCGTGGCTCAGTGGAGGAGGGAGGGGCGTGGCTCAGTGGAGGAGGGAAAGGCGTGGCTCAGTGGAGGAGGGAGGGGCGTGGCTCAGTGGAGGAGGGAGGGGCGTGGCTCAGTGGAGGAGGGAGGGGCGTGGCTCAGTGGAGGAGGGAGGGGCGTGGCTCAGTGGAGGAGGGAGGGGCGTGGCTCAGTGGAGGAGGGAGGGGCGTGGCTCAGTGGAGGAGGGAGGGGCGTGGCTCAGTGGAGGAGGGAGGGGCGTGGCTCAGAGGAGGAGGGAGGGGCGTGGCTCAGTGGAGGAGGGAGGGGCGTGGCTCAGTGGAGGAGGAGGGGCGTGGCTCAGTGAAGGAGGAGGGGCGTGACTCAGTGGAGGAGGAGGGGCGTGGCTCAGTGGAGGAGGAGGAGGGGGGGCGTGGCTCAGTGGATGAGGGGGGCGTGGCTCAGTGGAGGGGGGGGGGCGTGGCTCAGTGGAGGAGGGGCGTGGCTCAGTGGAGGAGGGGGGGCGTGGCTCAGTGGAGGAGGGGGGGCGGTGGCTCAGTGGAGGAGGGGGGGGGTGGCTCAGTGGAGGGGGGGGCGTGACTCAGTGGAGGAGGAGGGGCGTGGCTCAGTGGAGGAGGAAGGGCGTGTGTGTGTGTGTGTGTGTGTGTGTGTGTGTGTGTGTGTGTGTGTGTACTCACCTAATTCACCTAGTTGTGTTTGCGGGGGTTGAGCTCTGGCTCTTTGGTCCCGCCTCTCAACCGTCAATCAACTGGTGTACATGTTCCTGAGCCTATTGGGCTCTATTATATCTACATTTGAAGCTGTGTATGGAGTCAGCCTCCACCACATCACTGCCTAATGCATTAAATCTGTTAACTACTCTGACACTGAAAAAATTCTTTCTAATGTCTGTGTGGCTCATCTGGGTACTAAGTTTCCACCTGTGTCCCCTTGTTCGTGTTCCACCCGCGCTAAAGAGTTTGTCTTTGTCCACCCTGTCAATTCCCCTGAGAATTTTGTAGGTGGTTATCATGTCTCCCCTTACTCTTCTGTTTTCCAGGGACGTGAGGTTCAGCTCCCTTAGTCTTTCCTCGTAACTCATTCCTCTCAGTTCCGGGACCAGTCTGGTGACATACCTCTGAATCTTCTCTAACTTCGTCTTGTGTTTAACTAGGTATGGACTCCTGGCTGGAGCTGCATACTCCAGGATTGGTCTTACATAAGTGGTATACAGGGTCCTGAACGATTCCTTACACAAGTTTCTAAAGGCAGTTTTTATATTGACCAGTCTAGTATATGCCGCTGATGATATCCTTTTAATGTGGGCCTCTGGGGACAGGTTCGGTGTGATATCGACCCCCAGATCTTTCTCTCTATTTGACTCTTGCAGGATTTCACCTCCCAGATGGTACCTTGTGTTCAGCCTTCTGCTCCCTTCGCCTAATTTCATTACTTTACACTTTCCTGAGTTGAACTTTAGCAGCCATTTTCTAGACCATTCCTCCAGTTTGTCCAGGTCATCCTGTAGTCTCTGTCTATCTTCACCTGTTTGATTCTTCTCATAATTTTTGCATCATCAGCAAACATCGAGAGGAATGAGTCTATACCCTCTGGAAGATCATTTACATATACTAGAAACAGGATGGGTCCAAGTACAGAGCCCTGTGGAACCCCGCTGGTGACATCTCGCCACTCTGATGTCTTCCCCCTCACAGTTACTCGCTGTTTCCTGTTGCCTAGATACTCCCTTATCCACTGAAGCACCTTAACTTTTACTCCTGCCTGTTGCTCCAACTTTTGTAACAGCCTTTTGTGAGGTACTTTGTCAAAGGCTTTCTGACAGTTCAAGAAAATGCAGTCTGCCCACCCTTCTCTTTCCTGCCTAATTTTTGTTGCCCGGTCATAAAATTCTATTAACCCTGTAAGACACGATTTACCATCCCTGAACCCATTTTGGTGGTGCGTTACAAAGTTATTTCCCTCCAGATGCTCTACGAGCCTTTTCCTCACGATCTTCTCCAGCACCTTGCATGGTATACAAGTTAGGGAAACTGGCCTGTAGTTGAGTGCCTCTTGTCTGTCACCCTTTTTGTATATTGGGACTACGTTAGCTGTCTTCCAACTTTTTGGTAGGTCTCCTGTTTCCAGTGACCTGTTATACACCATAGAGAGTGGCACACTTAGTGCTTCTGCGCCTTCTTTTAGTAACCATGGTGAGATTCCGTCAGGCCCAACAGGCTTTATCACATTCACCTCCAACAGATTCCTTTTGACCTCATCACTGGTGAGGTCAAATTCCTCCAAGGTTGTCCGGTTTGCCTCCTCATTTAGTGCAGGGACCTCTCCTTGTTCTATTGTGAAGACCTCCTGTGTCCTGTATTGTGTGTGTGTGTGTGTGTGTGTGTGTGTGTGTGTGTGTGTGTGTGTGTGTGTGTGTGTGTGTGTGTGTGTGTGTGTGTGTGTGTGTGTGTGTGTGTGTGTGTGTGTGTGTGTGCGCGCGTGTGCGCGCACGTGTGATATCCACCACTGCGACCTACCTGAGAAGGCTTGCTGGCAAGGCCGTCAGAGCCGCCAAGGTAGATGTAGACGCCGCCCTTGCCCTTGGGGCCGGCCATCGGGGCCCCCACCGCCAGGTCCTCGTACCCGTCCCTGTTGATGTCCCCGAGGGACGCCAGGGCCAGCCCGAAGTGGCAGCGGGACCTCACCCCCAACAGTCTGGTTGACCGCTGGAAATTGTGCTGTGGATGACAATAATAACTTTTGAGAGAGAGAGAGAGAGAGAGAGAGAGAGAGAGAGAGAGAGAGAGAGAGAGAGAGAGAGAGAGGCAGATAATGGTAGCCGAGCCTAACCCTTAATCATCTTCAACCACAGACTGAACCCCCCAATGCCCGAGGAAAGATGTAAAGGTTTCGTAAAAGTAAACCAGTAAACCAGGCGAGGTCCCCCCCCCCTCACCTGCGGGGTCTGGGCGAAGAGGGTGACCTGACCGACCTCGAAGTCCACAGCGGCCTGCGGGTCGGTGTACCAGGGCGCCCCCACCGCTATGTCCACCAGACTGTCGCCGTTGGCATCCAGCACCGCCACGCTGTAGCCGAAGTACGACCCCACCTGTGGGGGGAGATGGTGGTTAGATGGAGTGGGGGGGGGGGGGTTAGGGGGGGGGGGGGGGGGGTTAGGGGGGGGGGAAAGGAAAGAGGTAGTAAATGATAACATTAGTCGACACAATTTTTTATAATTTTGAAAATTGAAATTTTGAAAATTTTAAATGTTGAAAATTTTAAATGTTGAAAATTTTAAATGTTGAAAATTTTAAATGTTGAAAATTTTAAATGTTGAAAATTTTAAATGTTGAAAATTTAAATGTTGAAAATTTCAATTTTGAAAATTTCAATTTTGAAAATTTAAATGTGAAAATTTAAATTTTGAAAATTTAAATGTGAAAATTTCAAATTTTGAAAATTTAAATGTGAAATTTTTCATTTTGAAAATTTAAATGTGAAAATTTAAATTTTGAAAATTTAAATGTGAAAATTTTAATTTTGTAACGGCCCACGTACCTGAGTGCCAGTAATGTTGTAGAGGATGGTGAGTCGGTGGTCGAGGACGACGACCTGGCCGGTAAGGTCGTTGCCACGCGGCATGCCGACGGCCAGGTCGTCCTCGCCGTCGCCGGTGAAGTCCCCGGCCGCCGTAGAGTAGCCCAGGTACGACATGTCGTCCCGCTTGGGGCCCTCACCCGTCGCCAGCGCCTCCTGCCGGTTCAACAGGTCCTGGTAGAATACCTGACCTGCAGGGGGGGAGGGGTGATTAGCTCTGTGTGACACGCACACACACACACACGCGCACACACACACACGCACGCGCACACACGCATACGCGCGCGCGCGCACACACACACACACACACACACACACACACACACACACACACACACACACACACACACACACCCTTGGATCTTTTCGGGATCCAAGAGTCAATGCTCGATCCTGCAGGCACAAATAGGTGAGTACGTGCACACACACACTTCCCGACACTGGATGACAGAACAGTAAGGGGGAGACATGATCACTACCTACAAAATTCTCAAGAATTTACAGGGTAGAAACTGTTTAATACTGGTGGTACGCGAACAAGGGAACACAGGTGGAAACTGAGTACCCAAATGAGCCACAGAGACGTTAAAAAGAACTTTTTCAGTGTCAGAGTAGTTAACAGGTGGAATGCATTAGGCAGTGATGTGGTGGACGCTGACTCCATACACAGTTTATAATGTAGATATGATAGAGCCCAATAGGCTCAGGAACCTGTACACCAGTTGATTGACAGTTGAGAGGCGGGACCAAAGAGCCAGAGCTCAACCCCCGCAAGCACAACTAGGAGAGTACAGTCCAGGGTTCAGGTGATCATCGTACCGCTGGCGTCCGCCAACAATGTAAACAAACCAGCCCAAAAAATCACACGAGAGAATAAACTTAACGAAAGATTTATTGCCAAAAATACTATTATGTTTTAAAGTGGGGAAACCCGAATGTCTTCAGACATTTGTTACCCCGACGAGCAAATTACTTTTGTTAAAGATATATGTACAAGACTGTAAGAACTCTTGAATACTTTGGTGAGGGGGGGGGGAGAGGGACCCCCCCTCCCAGACCCAAGCCTCGTATAACGGACAGGGGTCTAAGACCTGACCAAATTTTCACATCTCGTCATCGCTACGCTCTAAATAGCGATAACGCTACCAAATGATGCCCAACCACCCCGACCCAACCCAACCCGACCCGACCCAACCAATCCAAGCCAACCCAAGCCATACTAACCTAATTCTGGCTGAGATTGGAAATCTTTCTGGCTCAGATAATACACAAACACACACAATACATCATGGTTTCACGTGTATTCTGGAAAACATTTTTTTACCTGATTTACCTGAGGGCCATTAACCCTAGTGGCCTCGACGTGGACAGGAAGCCGGCGGCTTGTTGAAGGTAACCCTACCCCCCCATTTGCCTGGATGGTTTTGCCAGGTTTTCCAATATACTCCTCACGTGTCTTAGTACTGCCACATCTCTTATCATGACTAGATTTGTTGACGTTGTTGTGCTCGTTATTATCTGTTGTTCTTGCTGTGTTGGCCACGTTGGCTTGTATTCTCACTATGCTAATTATTCTACAGTTTCTCCATTCCACCAATCACAGCTCACCGTGGCTCTCCACCAATCACAGCTCACCGTGGCTCTCCACCAATCACAGCTCACCGTGGCTCTCCACCAATCACAGCTCACCGTGGCTCTCCACCAATCACAGCTCACCGTGGCTCTCCACCAACCACAGCTCACCGTGGCTCTCCACCAATCACAGCTCACCGTGGCTCTCCACCAACCACAGCTCACCGTGGCTCTCCACCAATCACAGCTCACCGTGGCTCTCCACCAACCACAGCTCACCGTGGCTCTCCACCAATCACAGCTCACCGTGGCTCTCCACCAACCACAGCTCACCGTGGCTCTCCAATCACAGCGCATCATGACTTACATGACCGCGCATGCGCCAAGCCTCAATAACTCTTAACTATAATTTCCTATTTCACGATGTCAGATAACCCGATAATCGTTGAGGTGAGGGTGATAATTGAGGAATATAATTGGTGGGTTGGTGACGCTGTAATCTCTCCATCTTGGCTGGTGGTGGTGGTGCCCCTCTGTACGATAACCGGTGGTGCCTCTGTACGATAACTGCTGGTGGTGGTGGTGGTGCCTCTGTACGATAACTGCTGGTGGTGGTGGTGGTGCCTCTGTACGATAACTGCTGGTGGTGGTGGTGCCTCTGTATGATAACTGCTGGTGGTGGTGGTGCCTCTGTACGATAACTGCTGGTGGTGGTGGTGGTGGTGCCTCTGTACGATAACTGCTGGTGGTGGTGGTGGTGGTGCCTCTGTACGATAACTGCTGGTGGTGGTAGTGGTGGTGCCTCTGTACGATAACTGCTCCTGGTGGTGGTGGTGGTGCCTCTGTACGATAACTGCTCCTGGTGGTGGTGGTGGTGCCTCTGTACGATAACTGCTGCTGGTGGTGGTGGTGGTGCCTCTGTATGATAACTGCTGCTGGTGGTGGTGGTGGTGCCTCTGTACGATAACTGCTGGTGGTGGTGGTGGTGGTGGTGCCTCTGTACGATAACTGCCGCTGGTGGTGGTGGTGCCTCTGTATGATAACTGCTGGTGGTGGTGGTGGTGGTGGTGGTGCCTCTGTACGATAACTGCTGGTGGTGGTGGTGGTGCCTCTGTACGATAACTGCCGCTGGTGGTGGTGCCTCTGTACGATAACTGCCGCTGGTGGTGGTGGTGGTGGTGCCTCTGTACGATAACTGCCGCTGGTGGTGGTGCCTCTGTTCGATAACTGGTGGTGGTGGTGGTGGTGCCTCTGTACGATAACTGCCGCTGGTGGTGGTGCCTCTGTACGATAACTGCCGCTGGTGGTGGTGCCTCTGTACGATAACTGCCGCTGGTGGTGGTGCCTCTGTACGATAACTGCCGCTGGTGGTGGTGCCTCTGTACGATAACTGGTGGTGGTGGTGGTGGTGCCTCTGTACGATAACTGCCGCTGGTGGTGGTGGTGGTGGTGGTGGTGCATCTGTACGATAACTGCCGCTGGTGGTGGTGGTGCCTCTGTACGATAACTGCCGCTGGTGGTGGTGGTGCCTTTGTACGATAACTGCCGCTGGTGGTGGTGCCTCTGTACGATAACTGCCGCTGGTGGTGGTGGTGGTGCTTCTGTACGATAACTGCCGCTGGTGGTGGTGGTGGTGCTTCTGTACGATAACTGCCGCTGGTGGTGGTGGTGCCTCTGTACGATAACTGCCGCTGGTGGTGGTGGTGGTGCTTCTGTACGATAACTGCCGCTGGTGGTGGTGGTGGTGCTTCTGTACGATAACTGCCGCTGGTGGTGGTGGTGCCTCTGTACGATAACTGCCGCTGGTGGTGGTGGTGCCTCTGTACGATAACTGCTCCTGGTGGTGGTGCCTCTGTACGATAACTGCTCCTGGTGGTGGTGGTGCCTCTGTATGATAACTGCCGCTGGTAGTTATCGTACCCTCCCTCACACCACTCAGGCACTCAGAGAGAGTGGAGAGGCCACGAGTGCCACTCACCTGAGGGCCGTGGCACCTGCCACTTGACACTCCTCCACTTATATATTTTCTCAAGTATCATTAATTATTATAACCACGTTAATGTGATCCAAAGTTAATGACCCAGTAATTACACAATAACACACGTGTACACAACACACACATGTGTACACAACACACACATGTACACAACACACACATGTGTACACATCACACATGTGTACACAACACACACATGTACACAACACACACATGTGTACACATCACACATGTGTACACAACACACGTGTACACAACACACACATGTGTACACAACACACACATGTACACAACACACACATGTACACAACACACACATGTACGCAACACACACATGTACACAACACACACATGTGTACACATCACACATGTGTACACAACACACACGTGTACACAACACACACATGTGTACACAACACACACATGTGTACACAACACACGTGTACACAACTCACACGTGTACACAACACACACATGTACACAACACACACATGTGTACACAAGTGATGTGTACCACCATGCTGATAGCCTGGTGGCTACTAGAGTTTAACTCAACCAAGTGCAAAGTGATGGGTGCTAAGGCGACCTGACCCAAGCTATCATATGGGAGGAGAAAAACCTGTAATCATGCAGTAAATCTTCAGGGCAGATCCATCCACCAATAAGGAATCATTCAAGACCTTGTACACCACGTACGTCAGACCAATTACTGAATGTGAAGCACCAGTCTGGAGTCCTTATAACTCGTCAGAAACAGAACCCGAGGCTGGAGAAAGCCCAAAGGCATGCCACGGGACTGGTCCCAGAGCAGAGAGGCACGAGCTACGAGGAAACACCTAGGTAAACATCACTACACAGGGTGATGTGAGGGGGTGGGAGACATAATTACCACATACATGATTTAAGGTGTTTGGGGGCAGAGAGGCAGACAGACAGACGCTCGTGAGCGACACACCGAGCGATACACGCATTTAATATATGCGGGGAGTCAGTCATCTATTTTTATTAATATACTTTAGTGAGAGATGTGTTTGTTGACTATACCGTAACATAAACACCCGCTCTCTGAGGGAGAGAGGGGGAGAGAGAGAGGGAGGGGAGAGGGGGAGAGAGAGAGAGAGAGAGAGAGAGAGAGAGAGAGAGAGAGAGAGAGAGAGAGAGAGAGAGAGAGAGAGAGAGAGAGAGAGAGAGAGAGAGAGAGAGAGAGACAGAGAGAGAGACAGAGACAGACAGAGAGAGAGAGACAGAGAGCGCGAGACACCACTACCCTCACCCCCCAAAATATATCATCACATATCATCACCTCTTAACCGGGTAATATTCCATAACCAATAACATCAACAAACACCAATCCAAACACACAGTTAAACCAACAAACAGGTGAGGAGGAGACAGGTGTGGCGGCGTCAGCGGGACCCGTCAACACGCCACACACGGCGCCAGGTACACCAAACTTACCACAACCCAACTCCAACTCCACACATGCACACCCTCTAAGGTGATCCAGTAGTCCTGAAGAGGAGACAGGATCTGTACTCCCTCGCTGGTGGTGGACGGGGTGGAGATGGACGGGCTGGGGCTGGACGGGGCTGAGGGTGGACGGGGTGGGGGTGGA